TCATTTTTACTAATTTCTTATGTCTATTTCAAATGTGCTAATATGTTTCGAAGACTGCTGCACAATCATTCAAAGTAACCATCAACGTCTAGATCACGATTCCTCGTAAATTATGTGAAGTTAATTCGTTCGGTACCCCAAGATATTTTCTCTCAATAATTGCATTTAGGGTTTTTCTTAGATCCGCCAATCTACAATTCGTCTTCATGTCAGTTTGTGCTGTCCGCTACACAACAGCCATTCTGTGCTGAAATCACTATTGGCCACAATGCAGACGCACATTTTTCCCACGCCAAATATATTTCTATTTACTGTTAATCGCTATTTATTTTCTAAAACAGAATGCAATATTTCTCGTTCCATAAACGGTTTTCTATATGATCATAATGACACCTATTATTTTTACTGTGTGTTGCGCCGTTAGATGGGGAAACGGGGAATGATGGTCAGTCTCAACGATTCTTTTACTACTAACATTATTTCTAATTGCAGTAGTTATAAATAAGGCTATAAAAAATACCCTACATTTGACGGTGATAACAGTAATATCATTACGCATCGTTATTATCTTCGTTGACACCATCATTATTTTATGTGATGTTTCATAATATGCGTACTGTAATAATAGCTTATATCATTACTATTGAAGAGAATAACTTAGCTTACACACTTAACTTGCATGTAAAGAGAAGAGAGAAATGAAATAAGCACGGGGGAGGAGGGGGGGGGGAGTGGGTGGGTCAACTCCTCACAGAAGTGCTATACAAACAGCAACGCGGGCCGAGGGGACGTCACCGTGAAACTCGGTTCGCTGCGGACAGATGCTAGACATTAGATAAGCCCAAACAGGATCAACAAAGCCGCCGATTATTGTACAGCGTCGACGACAGCCGGCCCTTTTTTCCATCTTTTTCACTTTCTCCCTTCGGATGTTTTTCGTCATAGACGCGAACTTGACGATCCATTTAAAATGTCTAACAAACAGCGAGAAACAAGCTCCATTTTTCCCGCGTTCCGTTCTTGCCTATCTGATAACGAAGTAACTAGAGAAAAACAGTTTGCCATTGATCCGTTTAGCTGTACCATAGAGATTCATTACTGCTACTTCGTCTGTAGCTATCGGTTCATAGCGAAATACGTGTGTAGCTCACCTACAAGGCGGCTGTTAGGGCGTCTATATGCGTACTATCCACATTTACGGAGAGCCATCGTTCAGACAGTCTTTGCGTGTAATTCGCGTATTAGCAGATTTGGTTGCAGCATGTTCGCTGCTGCATTGTACAGTACATTGAAAAGGGGCTGAGGGCGTAAGTATCCATGCCTGCTTCGTATCCCAAATATTCTTTCATCGTCGCCAATACTCGTAAAGAAGCACAGGTTGAGTCATATATAAATTAATGGGGAGATTTCAGACACGCTAATCCGTTCGCTAAATAAGAACCGAATACCGAATATAATAATAATATAATGTCTGATAACTGCTAATAATATGACAGCCGCAAAATACGAGCAAATTTTTACCTTATAACTAATAGCATATTTGTTTTAAGTATTCTTAACACCGTTATTTCTTACGTAGTTTGAGGATGGTTGTTATTATTATTGTCAGCAGTAAAAATCAAAAATCTATTCTCTTTCTAAGACCAAACCAAGAAAATTCAGCTAGGGCCGTCCTACTCTAGCTTTTGGGGGTAGTACTAGATAGCTGTTGAACTCGCGTGAGAGGTCATTATTAGTGGCGGTCGTGCGCATCACAACGCGCCCAAATTAACGTGGTTTCTCTTCCATATCTTTCTGGTTTTGCTGAAATCTTCCATGCTCACCCCCCTCAGATGCGGTCTGTCATGCCGCAACTCAGTAACCATCAAGAAGTCCGTTTGCGCCAATTAACTTCCTCCTGTAAACGATTCACAAGGTCTGCTTTTTATTTTTGAGTTCAATTTCTTTTTACTTTTCATTGAATGTTCGCCCTGATTAGGTTTACGAATATCCTCTCGTAGGAGCCTAAGTCAGCTTTTTGCTGGGTGCTCTATAGCCATGGCGCCGACAACCTGTTCTTAGCGGGTGATATGTGCAACACAGCTGATGGGGGAAATATTTAGTACATAGTAATTTGTTTTTCCCATTTTCATTCGTCCTGTCATCATTATCATCCGTCTTCAGCATCGTCATTAGTTTGTTCCATATTCTCCTCTTCCTTCATGTGTGAAAATTATTTTAAATTCTTGTTACTTATTAATATTATTATTATGATTATAATTATCATTATTATCATTATTATTATTATTTCCTTCCTTCACTTACTTGTGTCTGTACAGTTTTTCATTAGTTTTACTTTCGTTCGCATAATCATGTTGTGCTGATAACGACTTCTTCTATTCATCAGCCATTAGGCCCCCCGTCAAGCTTAGAGCGAGGCCCTCGAGTCTGGCCTCTGTTGGGCCCTCTTAGGCAATCAACTCATCTCGGCGACCACGGAGCAGGCCGTTCTCCCGTATTCTCTCTCCCTCTATTATTTCTATTTCTGGCTGTTTTAGTTTTCTGATGTTTCGTATAATGTTCATGTTCTTTGTTGATGTTAGCTTGTTCGAACTGTTAGCCTTAACGTTAGCGAAGAGAGTTTGATCAACGACGACTCGTCCTATCTGCGTTTATCGGAGTCCATGTGGGACAAGGACGTGTTCAGCTGGCCGAGGAATCTGTTCAAATCCCTCACAGTCTGTGCCTATCTCTTTATCACTCTTTCATCATTACTACGCTACACGCCTTTTTGAGACGTGGCTCTCATAATGTGTTAGATTTATCAGACTTAATTTCATCGATCGCGCTACACTCTAGCTTAACTTTAAGAGCTTAACCCGCAGTTGTGTTAAGCTCAGTCAACTTCGATGACCATGATCGCTGTCCGAAACAGATTGATTTGCCGATCGACTAACTTTAGCCCCCGACTTCTCAACGACATCGTATGAATGCACAATTGTTGACACTATCTATGATAATTTGATAGGATTTCTTATGTCGCTCGTTTTCTTCTACGTTTTTCAATGTTATCTGTTTCTCTACAGGTTTTATTTGTTTCATCATCGGTTCGTGACGGCCAACGACACATTTGCGTCTGGATACAATTGCACTACCTAAAGTCGGTGTATCTTTCAGCTTAACTGATCTTGATTTCGATGCTACCGAGCGAAGTTCAAATCGAATTTACGGTATGACGATGTTGTTCCCGTTCGATGACAATGTAGCAGCAGCGAGTGTTATTGTTACAGAGTTTATGGCGTTAGGTGGTATATCAGTTTTCTTATTGCCCTTATTGTTTTCCGATTGGCCGCCATTGTTATTGCTGTCTTTCGACTCTTTGGGTCCGCTTTCGATTCTCCGCAGCTCGAGGTGGAACTCAGCTTCTTTTTCTTCTTTTTGGCCTTTTTCGGAACAATGCCGTTCGCCTTCTTCAAGTTCTTCTTAGCGACGGCCCTTAGATAACCGTTGGACTTTTGGTTAGTCAGCGACGGGAAGTCTTGTTCGGATTCTGTAATGAGAGATAATGATACGTCACAGAAATACATAAAAAATAAAAAAAAAAAACAACTGTTAGTGAGTTTTGTATTGACCAACGAGATCATACTTGTTCAAACGCAGAGAGATTTATGCATATGGATAATTAAAAGCGTATTGTAACGCAAGCTGTACCATCCTGCCCAAAAGCGTCCTTCACCTAAAGCTTTCAGCGGCATTCAACAATATTGAGTTTGACAGTCAGACAACAAACAGCCACTGACAGCAGGCACAGTAAAAGCAGACACGAAATAGATTCCTTTTTTAACTATATAGAACGTGCAGCGCCTAACAGCTTTCACGCTCACAGACACTGAGGGATTGATAGTACCAACTGCATGTTCAGACACAGCCATAGTGGCATTTGAAATAATTTGGCCTGGACCATGTACATTTACTATTTAAGTATAAGCCAATAGTTCGTTGGTTTTCAAGTAAGTAGGGGTAAAAGGAGTAGGTGTGAAAATCAGAGTAAGAATGAATCGTTCATTTTTCTGGCCCTCATTATAATCATTACCTTAATGATAGGTAGCAATTTTAAAGAGTGATACAAGAGGCCGAGTCTTCGAAATTTTATCCTCTTAGCTTATTTTTCCCTTTCACCGCCTGCCAGCTAGCCTCTCTTCTCGCTTATAGAAGCACGAGCATACAGCCGAAACGTGCATATGTCCCAAATAAAAAAAACACATTACAACAACAGCAATTCTGACAGTTCATGTGTGTTTTACCCTTTAAACTTCCATCGCGTTAGCTAATCTCCCTTCCATTCACAGCCAAGAGCATCGCCAAATGTGGCTGTTACCTTTGAAGTAGGGCCAAAACCGTTTGAATACAGGCAGGCGTCTCGAGAATACTCGTAAGCCGACGACCCCTGCGACCGACAATGGTGGAATAAGGCTTCTGTTTTTCAACTGGGTGGCGACACTGGGTGAGCCTGGCTGCGAGGAACTACCACAAAACACACCATCTAACCCCCCACCCCCTGTAAATATGGGTCAACAAAACATAATCGCAGCAAAAACGACACAAAAAAAATAAAAAATAATAAAAAAATTGACGAAAACAAAAACAGCAAGAAATATAGATACATAATTAAAATTATATAAACGAGATCGTCTCCTCTAGAAGTGTGAGAACAGTTGCATATATGCGTGTCGTTCATGAGGATATAATTAAAAAAAAAAAATTCTTTCTACTGGTTTGGTTTATTGATTTCCCCACAGATCGTTTAATATAAGAGAGAATAGGCGAAATTATTTCGTGGTCATTCAACCAGTCAGACTGGGTTAATCCTTCAGTGATGGGTCAGAAATACAGCGTTACGAAATGCAGAAACAGATTATAGGAAACACGTATTACTCTTTTCAACTTGGAGAGCAGGGTCGGATGGCGATGGGCAACAGCTGCAAGCTGCAAGCAACTATGTTAAAAACTATAGGCCTCTTCTGTATAAAACTAGTAATAACTACTGGCCAATTAATATGATCTTAATATCACGTATAGAATATATACTAATGCGATACCAAATATAGCCATATTATCGATCAGACCATCATTGAATCTGTTACTGAGAGTTTAAACAGGTTGACCTTACCTCTGCACTATACTGAGCTTCTTGATTTTATTACTTCACATTATTAATATAGGATAGGTAGTGTTTGAATATTGGTTGTTCACTAGGGATGCATTCTGATCTAGGTAAGATCATCTCTATTACATTATTATATTTTATTTACAAAGCAGAATATCTTACCCGTTCCGACAGGCAACAAAACCACACAAGATAGCTTTGCTCAAGTAAGTGTCTAAAATGCATGCCGCTGTATTAATAAGTTGACAATGTTGTTGTTGTCATTTAGCAGTAAGAGCAAAATTTTATATAGTACTACGACTTACCTATGGTAAACTTGCTGTTTCGTTTGGCCACATGCCCAATTGTATCCTTCTTGGGGTGGCCGTTTCCGTGATGGTGGTGATGATGGTGATGATTTCCATGCTGATGGTGGCTTCCGTGTGTATTACCGGTATTAGGCCCGACATTGCCTGCTGCCAGGCTCTGGCCGACGGATTGGCTACAGAGCTCCTCCTCGAATGGCGGATAACCATGCAGGAAGGGACATGCAAGACCTTTGAAGCAACTGTCTTCCTCCCAGAAGCGGCACGTAATGGCCGCAAGTTCGTGGCTGAACTTGCAGTCGGTGCGACGGCAGTTGCCCTCCATGTAGAACGTGCACGGCTTACGCTGCGCTCGCTGCCGTCGACGCTGCAAGTCCTGTATGCATCGTACGCTGTTTATGATAGCCGAATCGTACGTTTCGGGAGAAGCGAATAGGCACGACGCCACAGGAGTGATCGTAGATACACTCGATGAGAAGTGCGACAGATACTCGATGGGCACCCCGCATGAATCTTCCGAGTAGCCCAACGAACAGCTCAAGTCCGCCACCCCCCTGTCCTCCTCGCAGCCCGGCAGTGATCCGTACTCCAAAGAAGCATCTAAAAGTGCCCAATTGCCCCACATTTTACGCAGCGTAGATGACAAATGTTGACATATGTATGTGAGCTAATAGTTATTACGACGAATACAAATACAACGAACTACCTACGAACTAGTACTACGAAAAATTTTATGGGAGGAACAACTAACGTGGATATGCACTGTATATACAGCAAACGCGAATGCAGAGCAAATTAAATATAAAACATATGCTTGTTGTTTCCAATAGGACAAAAAGTTTACTGGAACGTGTAAATAAATTCATATATGGAGAACAAAATCCTACTATTCGACAGGAAATATTGTGGGATGTTAATCCCAGGTGGTCACGATCAACGGCGCGACACGAATCTCCGCATATTCCGATACAAACGTGCATTCAATGTAGTGTTCTCTGCAGTTACATTACATTACATTAATGATGGTTATTATCTTGGCCAACGAAATATTCGGTGCGGGCAGTATGCCTTCCGGTTTGCTCACCATGGTACGACGATGACTCGTAGCCGCTTGCTGTAGAAGCTGTTGTCGATGCTCCTGTTATATTACGATCTTCACGGTTGCAGCAAGCAGACGTTTTGTCGCTGTCATCCTGATTCTGTTCTCGGCGTTGCTGTACTCGTTGTGCATGAATTCTTGCGATACGCTGTTGTTGAGCGTCTTGGCTTGCTTGTAGTGCCTGCAAGGTTCGTGCCTCAAGCATAATGTCAAGGAATAACTCCTCCTGTTCGTCATGGATCTCATTTCGTAGTTCCTTGGATGCGGCGCTAGAAGTTACCGCGGGCCCAGCAGTCTGCCAACAGTGTGCTACCCCCAAGATGTCTGCGTCGCTATTCACAGCGGGGGCCTGTGGCAGCGTAAAGTTTACCATCTTCCACAGGGCCTGAACTTCCACGTCATCCAAAGCGGTCCCACCTGAGCAATAAGAAGCCCACACACAATCACATTAACAAGACACGCGTTAAAGGTAATTTCTCATCATTCATGATCATTCAACCAATAACAAATACTGTGTTACATGAAGATATCTCTAATAACGCCATAATTAACTGTACAGATACCTATCCTTCTGTAGCTATATCCTACTGTCTGCTAGCAAAGGATTCCATAGCCAGCATTCTGTCGCTAAGGATGGTGTCAATTACGACTCCAAATTCTTATCGGCAAAATTTTCATCTTGCCGTGCACCGTACCGTTCAATTGATCTCGTCATATGATCGAATATGATACTATCTAAATTCACCCTCCGCTGAAAATACATAGGTTTCTACATGTGGTGTAGTAGCCTAAAGCAGCATGTGATCGCAAGCTATAATGTTCATAACAAGAATATCGTTCTTATAGATCGTTCACAGATGGAAAATGTCCATATTAATTTCGCACAAAGCCGCAAATATCGGGCTACTCAATGGGATGGATAGCGATTGATTTCGCCTCTTACCGCCTTTTCTTAATTAAAATCCTTCAGGTAAATTATCGTGTTTCTAGAGAAAGAATCAATCCATCGTATGGCTAAAGACCTACGATACAATGAAAATTATCGGCAGCCAAATCTTCACAAATTGGGTTGCGACAGTGTTGTATGAATGAGCTCTTATTTCTTATAACAATCCCAGCCACATAAGCATCGGTGGGGCCTCATTCTGCTTCTTTCAGTAAGAACTTCACAGTCAGTCAGTTGTCGACACCCAGAAAATGAATCATTCATTGATTCACTTCGATAACTCGAAATTTGACAGCACAACAACAGGATGTCCAAAAGGCAAACCAGGCAGCGCTCACGGTTGGCCGCTGTACCCCGTCGAATCGTCGTCTGTCGACAGTGATGGTGATCTCCAGCGTTCTATTCCATTACATCGCGTTGTTATTCGGCAGTGACCGTGTGTACCACTGCACAAAGACTGCCAAAGCTGTCAGCACAAGATTGTGTGCCTGTTGGACCATCTGGAGCGTGCCACTTTTCGGCCATGTACACAGCCGCGTTTATCTTCCCAGCTACAGGTGACCCTTCTAAATAGAATTGCCTTTGCGATACGTTCACTGCCACGTTTCTGTGACAATCGGTAATCATTTGATGATCAGGATACTGCCGATCGTCTCACAGCTCATCCTAGCGAGCTGCGTCAACAGCAGCTGTAATAATAACAGCTGGTACCTCGGTAGTAGACGACTAGTGCAATCTGTTGCTAGTTAATGGTAACTATTGATAAATAGGACAACACTGCTAAATTTTTTATAGTGGAGGTAAAAGGTTATAAAAGACACAGATGAGATTAACAATGAATCTACGCGTTCCACTAGTCTTGCTGATTCAAAATGTAGTGATGATAATTGTGGTGGCTGATAAGACAAAAGTTATCGGCGACCTGAAGTCACGGTTTTCTTTCTATCAGGCACCACTAAAACGGTGCCACTGTTCTCAATCAGCTGATTTTAGGTGTTTGCCATAGAGGTCACAGGGTAAATAGAACGCACGGAGCTTTCGGCGATAGGCTGTAAGGTTAAAAAGGGCTCGTAGGGCTAAAAAGTTTGCTATAAAACAAACAAAACCGAGATTTACTTCCTACTTTAAGACCATTACCAGCAGTTCGCATGTTTACATCTTTCAAGCTCGTGAATTTGATATATTATGCGGCAGTAAATTAGAGGCAAAAAATAATTCACGGACGGTTACAGCAACATCAATAGGTGCATACTAATACATAGAAACATTGAAAAACCATGAAACTGAGATCATCACCCACGATCAATAAAATATGAGCTAATAGTTGGCCGAGAAACCCTGACATGATATGACAACACGTCAGAGTTTTTACGAAATGTACTTTTACGTTTCGTTTACGCTTACATTTTACAACGCCATGTGGGGACCCCCTGTCGGGTTCGTCTTGAGTGATGCTCGTAGCTGTGGTGCTGCGAATGGTGCTATTAGCAGCAGCGTTCGCGGGACGGGTTACCAATGTGGTGTCGGCGGCGGCGGTCACCGCCGTTGTTGTTGTTGTTGATATAGATCGACTCTTTTGCTGTTTATTTATATCCTTCATCCGCTGCTGTTGCGCCAGTTGCCGCTGCTCATTGTTATTGCTAGAATAATTGCTGCTGTTGCTGTTATCATTATGACTGGCACAGGCCGTCGAAATTCCTGCCGCAGACGGAGTGACCATGCTCGTTGCTGAAGCCGCTGCAGTTCCGGTGATAGCAACGGAAGCTCTACTAGCAGAAGAGCCAATTTGAAGCAGAACCTGCTGCTGCTGTTGCTGTTGCTGCTGCTGTTGCTGTTGCTGCTGCTGCTGCTGCTGCTGCTGTTGCTGCTGCTGCTGCTGTTGCTGTTGCTGTTGCTGTTGCTGTTGCTGCTGTTGCTGCTGTTGCTGTTGCTGCTGTTGCTGTTGCTGCTGCTGTTGCTGCTGCCTCCGCTGCTGCTGCTGCTGCTGGTATTGCTGCTGCAGCTTTTGCACCTGTTTTTGATTTGAGGTCACTTTAGTTAGGTTGGTTTGTGCTGTAGCTTGCAGCTGGTGCTGTTTGTGCAGCTCCTGTTGCTGTAGAATTAATTTTTGTTGTTGTTTAAGCAGAGAGCGCTGTTGCTTGGTGGTGCCGCCAGCAGCAGCAGCACAAACGCTGCCGTTAGTATTGCTGCTGTTAGCGATGTTTTTCAAAGACGTAGAGACCTTGGAAGCGGTGACAGCAGGCGCCGTGTGGCTGGCAGCTGAGGTGGCGGCATGATGCAGCTGTTGTTGGTGCTGGTGACGTCGGGGCGGTTCCGGCAGCAAGTGGTACGAAGCGAGCTCTGCTAGAGATGAAGAGGGCGGTCTGTTTTCGTCGTCGAGGTTCGCCTGCTCGGGTTCCACACGGATCGGTGTGAAGTGAGTCCGCGGGGACACGAGCAAATCTTCAGCGTCGTCGATGGTAGATGGGCTGCTATTGCTGTCGATGGCAGGATCGCTACTAGCTGCGGACACAACTGCTGATGTGCCCCCAGCGACGCCTGGTCCCAAAGGGTTTCCGCCGATGGAATGATACTGCGTATGTTGACTATCGTGTACACTTCTCTCGACGCCCATCAAGATTCGGTTAGCTGCGCTAAACTTGCGTGTTGGGATCACCTGAAATAAAAACGACGACGACGACGACGACGATAAAAAGAATAACTCGAATGTTATCAATTCGCTTGATGATGCATTGCAATGCAAATGATTACGATGACGATGATAGTGACGAACCGTCTACACACTGGCGACATTATAGAGACATACTATTTGCCTAAAACCCAATCCAGGCATCCAGGTGAATATTGAGATCCAAGTGGAAAAGGTTGAGTCAGCGTTGACAGCAAACAACTCGAGATCTCATTCATTGTTGCATACCTACGTATATACAGACTGGATATAGAACACAAAGTCTGAATTAGTAACTGCTTTCTTTATATACTCACATAAACTAGGTACTGAGATGAATTTGCTGGCCGCTTTAATAGACATCATGATATGTTAACCTGTGGCACTTAGCGTAGCATTAAACAGTCAGAATTGACAAATAGCTTACATCAGCAGCTTTACATAGATATGGATACACATAGTCAACATGCAGGGGTCTCTCTAATGAAGCTGCTGTGTGGCTTAGCAGAGATTAAAGAACTGTACACTTTGGGTGCGAGCGCGCATGGCCGGATTAGAATGACTGCCTGATATGTTTTAAAAAGGATTTATTCGTTAAAATTTGGGTAACATCTATTCATTTCTGTTGTTATCATTGTCGTCGTTGTTTTGTTGATAATGATAGGCCTGATGAGTCGCAAGCGCTAATCATAGGCTTTCGCGCATATTAACGATTGCTAACTTATGTGTAGTTTATTTGTCGTGAAAAAACTGGCTACAAGTACGTCACCGCAGCTCGCCACAGTAAAACCGTCCGGACGCGTTTTTAGGACAAGCTATTGAACGTTAACGATCGCACGACATGTGAAAATCAGATCGCATCAAAGGCAGTAACAAGGTAACTACCTACTGAGAAACATTTTTGCCGAAAATCTCTGATTTGGGCGTATGCAATTTACCTCAGTAAAAGCTGTCTTGTCTTTGTCGTAGTTGAGTGCCGAATTCTTTAAACAAATAGTTGGAGGCGGGTGTGATTCGAAAATCTGTTCCGAGATGAAATCCGACCCGATGATGCCGGTACCCGTACTACAATTATACTGGCTCTTTACAACGTTATTCGTTGAATCATCATCGTCCTCGAGGATTTTACTGAAGATTGACAAGTTTGGGATGCTAAAAATAACCTCGTCACAGGCTCGATCGGCCCCTGTGCGTCCACCGGGTTTCCCTCCAAGGTCCAATGATATCTTCCATAGGGATGATTGGTGATCAACAGTCGGCGCATCAGCCCAGATGGCTGCAAGCTTCGAATCGAATTTTTGGGTGAGACGCGAAAGCAGTGCGTCCTCTCGTACGATTGACCCCATATCGGTTTCGTGAATGTTGGCTGTACTTCTAAAAGTAGTTATTTTATCTGTAGCTCCCGTTGATATTGAATCAGGTTTCGCTTTAAGATGTCCCGGCGATTGTCCCCAGCCTTTGTTTTTAGTACGATCAATCTTAAATAATCCTTTGAAATCGTCCGCGAGGCCTAGGGCTGGTGAGAAACTCTTGCGTTTATTCTTCTTTCGCTTACGCTGTTCTTTAAAAACACCCTGCTGCTGGTGCTGCTGCTCTTCTCTCAGTAGATCCTGTTCCTTTGAGATGCTATCGGTGCCGTTTGTCTTACTCACTAAAGGTCGTTCGTCCACCTGCAGGGCAGGAAATGCGTCAAAATATTTCTTGGCAAGTTCCGCCAACGTACGGGGCTCCTTGTCTACGTCCAGCCGATCTCTAGCCACCGAATGTCTTCGGTTATCGCCTGTTAGCGGGGTCTTCTTTGTTGGTGTTCGTTGGTTATCGTTTTGGTCCGCTTCAGCGTCCTCAGTGGGCTCGAGACGCGCAAGTAATTCTTCCACCAGGGCGTCAAACTCCTCGTTTGAGTCTGCCGCACTTTTGAGGCACTCGATGGCGCACCGCTTAGCTAGCAGTCTACGCCGCTCGGGTTTCGTTGCCTGCGGATTATATGGAGTCTTGTTTGCGTTCGTTGAAGGACAGTAATAGTATTGGTCGTCGCCGTCGGGTTCCTTCAACAGCGATAAAACGTAGTAAGTATAGGCTGCGTCTACGCCCCGGTTGACCAGCTCGTCCTGAAACCACGTCGAGACAGCGGCCGGAGTAGACACAGAAGCCAACTGATGGTACTTCATCTAAACAGCGGGGCAATTGACGTACTCTGTGTCGACCCACGTTTTTTATTGTTCGCCTTTTTCCAGCTTCTGCTTCTAGCGAGCTACTTCAAAGCCAATCGTAGGGACAGCCCTTTGAATCTGGCCTGATTTCACTTGGCTCAGATTGTTTTGGACGCTTCACTCTTAAATACGAACAACGCAGCCACCGAAAGAGGATAGTTGCACACTAAATTGTTCTGCACGCTAAACTAATCTTCGAGCTAATGATAAAGTCACGAGAACATGCGGCTTTTCATTGGATGTCCGGATGACAAAAATCACGTTCAAATGAATGATTTGCAAGTTTGAAAAGTGAGATGCCCTGAAATAACACCAGATCGAGAAAAAAGAAATTAATCATGTAATAGCGTCTTCTTCGTATTGAGTGTTAATACGCGAGTCTTTGCTAACTTTTCAAAATTCATCGTGTGTGGTTTTTCGGAAAGTGCAGATAGACTGCGGGGTGGAAAACCATCTGTGGTAATACTACGTATACATACGTTTGCGGTTTATGTTTTCTCTTTAATCATGTTTTATTATAATTATTACTGGTATTACATATGTATTAAGAGTATGCTAACACAGGTACTTACAACGGTCAGCTTTTACTTAATGTGTGGTTTTTCATTATCTGTCAGGTGTTCATCTTCGAGCTAGTCAACAGTGTCATTGAAATTCGACGAACGCTAAATGTTCGACCGTTGAAACGGTTCTACTGTCACTTTTACCTGTTTCATCCTGTGAGAGGCTGAAGTCGCTCGTTGTTCTCGTTTGTTCAAGACATTAGCAACAGCAGTTCTGAAAATGATACGGTGGCGAAGTTACAAATTGCACGCGCACGCTTAGTTATGATGGTTCAACGCTCGATTCAAAGTTGAACGCTTGCCAGTTGAAGACATAAGTAAAGGCTGATCTTCCGATAGTTAATTCAACTGATTGATTGATGTCACAAATTAACTTCGATGATGTGGATGTTGTATAACATTGTTCTCTTCGCTGCTGTTGAATGCTCGATCGTCGTTGCAGCTCTTCTTAAGTCTGAGTTTTGCTTTGCTGATACTGATGTCGTATCTTCGTCAATGTTGTTCTTAACTGAACTTCGTCTTGTCGCTATCTTGTTGTTGCTGTTGCAGCTGCTGTTGCTATTTTTGTCGTCGTCGTCGTCGTTGTTGTTGTTGTTGTTATTGTTGTTGTTGCTGTTATTGTCGTTGGTTGTTATTGTTGTTGTTAAAATAGTTATCTCTAATTGTAATCGTTGAGAGAGAGGGAGCTGTAGGGAGGGCCGCTGGTGGTTGGGGTGGCCGAAGCCGTTTAGTGCTTAGCGGTTGTCCATGATGTCGGGCTTACCGGCTCCGTCCGTTAGTGGAGGAGATTGCCACAATGCAGATGGTGCTAAGAGGCTAATGATGGCCTCCGCCCGAACGGCCCGCATACAGCCACTCACCGCTCACCATCTTCCCTGTAAGGCAAACAAGTTATACTGAATTGATATTAGATCAAATTAGACGAAGCTTCATAAATAATGAGCAAGTTCGTTGCTAAGTACAGCGGTAGGGCATTGCAAACCATATGGCATCATTAATGATAGAAGTAGTAGTAGTAGTAGCAGTAACAGTGTTAGGACCAAACAAGGCTGGCCATCAAAGGCCAATTTTAGGTGGTGTCTCTTTGTTTGACTTGTAGACTTATATATTTGCATATATTTGCTGCTGGTCGACACCACCAAAGGCGTAAGCAACCCACCTCCACGTAGACTTCAGGGTATGATAAATGATATAAAACAATATCCAAGCTAGCTCACTTGAGCTTCGGTAACAGTGTAGTAGGTGCCGTGCTTGCCTGCTGAACTTAGAAACACACTTTGCTTCATGCTGGCACGAACCTTTGTCTATTGTCTAAAATGCGTAAAAAACGCAAGAAAAAACTATAGTGTCGACCACCATACATTACCGTAATAATTGATAACATGGTTCAATAAACAAACATCAGGTACTTACTTTAAATGATGTGTATTCATTTAGGTATTGTGTAATTGGTGCTAAAACAACAATTAATTGATTCACTGCAATACTAACATCAACACCGCACTGCTACGCCCTCGGCAACGACTAGCATCTACTCAGCAGTGTCAGGTTGTTTAAATACCATTGCATTGCATTAAATGAAGACGAAGCTTTTGAGTAGATCCCTTGCAACGCGGAGGGCGCCATTCGGGTGGAGAGCGACCTCTGAGGGTAAAGATTTGCATTAAAAGATACCTCTCCGCATCAGCTATAACTTTTGCGAACCTTTCAAAAAAAAAAGCTATGTTAAGGTGGACCCTATAATAGACAGACATCACTAGCGCCCATAAATATAGTACATAGAACTTATGTTGCACAGTCTCTGATCGTCGTCTGATTTCTCAGGTGGAGAAATGAAAGACTGACCGAAGTTTTAGCGGCCGTAACCCATGAGCTTATTTATAAATTATTATTTATTTTTTATTAATGTATCTGTTGACGACGGACAGGAATACGCAAATCCTCTGGGCGAACACATCACTCATTTTCTCCTTTGATTCACTTACACGCACATACACACTTTCTTTTCTGTCACAGCAAAATAAGTGACCGCTATCCGTCAACACAGGCATTGTAATATAGTAACGCAAGATCACAAATGTACGACAAGGTGCGACTACTGACCCTATTTTTACTGCGATTTCAACCGCTACAATTTTTGCAACGATATCGGCTACTGCTTTGGAAGTATACGTATAGACTGCTACAGAACGATTTGCAGTGAAGTGACGGACCGGAAAGTAATTGCTTGATCTGTCTCCAACGTTATTCTCTTGTCGGCTGTCGTATTAAACTGACGCCAATTTTAAACCGACAAGTCGTACCTTAGTTCCTGATTTATATAATCACTGGCGTATATCAAGGCCGCCAACATTTCAAAACGCAACTACATATCACGTATAATCAACAAATAGCTAACCAACCTACATGACGGAGCTGTTACATGCCGTTGTATTGGCACTGGCTATAAAGACAACTTTTAGGATTTTTTCAAAAAACTCAAAAGGTGCGTTTATATAAATTGGAGCTCTTCGATTATTCCGAGGAAGCATCGATACAATTATTATTATTGTTATTATTATTACCATTACTATTATAAATGTGTTTAAATGCCTTCTTTACGAAGCAGAACTTGAACAGGAATTACCTGCGAAGAAACAGTTTTTTTACAAACTTGATAACGTAATATTGGTTGTGCAGACAAAAACGTCGTTTTTCATACAACAATTTGGGCATACACTGGAATATAAGTTACTTATCACAATAGGCCATCTCATCAGCGTCAGACTCCCCCATAGGCCACTGATAGTACCCGCAAGTGATACCATGACACATTCGCCTATCTGTACTCCAAGTAAACAATAGTGCAATACAATAGCGAGTCAACACTATAGCACCACTTCTATACACAATAATATCGCGACGAAATACAGTGCAACAGGATTACCACAAAGGCCGCCAAAACACAAAAGACCAGCTAAGCCACATTTGTATATTTAGCGTCCTATGACGACAAATATCAACAATATTGCAGTACCGGCAATGATTGTGTGCAGGTAAAGTTAAGGGATTGAATACGTCACCTTTAAATTGAGGTTAACCAGGCGATTGACAGACTCTATGGACGGACTTAGTACTAGTTAACTCAGCCTGAGATCATCGATTGCAACAGATTGCACTGAGACAGATGAGTTCGAATAAAATCATCTTTCAGCCGATGAGCTTCTGTGTAGCAGTAATAATATTACCACCTGGAGTTTTACCTTCTCGATGATGTGTCGTTTTTCACTCAGTGATTTCTCAGTGATTACTGATGTCAGACGGCCCGTCGAGTGTAGGACTCGTCTTTTCGAAACACTTCCATCTGATACCACGGATGGTGAGAAGAGTTTCCTTTGTCCATGTGAGTACTTATCCGCTTAGCAGTTACTGGCGCAGGCTATCGCTGAATGAGTTCTGAGTGAATCAATGCTCAGCCGAACCCGCAATTCAGACATTTAGTATTTCTCGCCTCCAAGTTTGAGCGTATTGCACGTTTGGGGCACCAGTGAGCCTGGCAAATATAACAGAACAAATGGTGACGACAATCACAAGTTGTCATGAAGAAGCGTAGGAATAAGGGTGGGACGAGGCATGCAGCTTCCACAAATTGTGTATAGTCACTTCACTGGAAAAACAGATTACAATTGCTATCACGGTGATGACAGGCAAGTTGCTATGGACAAGCAGAGACGTCGACACGTCTGTTTTCGTCATGTGCATATTCCATCGGCCATGGCAATTACCAGTTGCCCCAGGTAATTTGTGAGGGATTACTCGCCCATCCGCCCTCTTTTCCACAGTCAGCCCACTGGCTAGAGGGCAGGCAAGGACCGAGCAAGCGGTGACCGACTGACTGCCGAACTGGAGAACGTCCGCGACAGCTGATTGGGCTGCCCATTGCAAAGCGTCTATTGTATCGCCTCTTCGTCCTCTCACACCTAAATTGCTGATTTTCGCGGGTAAGCTACAAAGGCCATAGAGTAGGCATGGTAATCCTGCAACGTTTGAGCTTGCTTTCGGTCCAGCTGCTTGTTCACCTGCCGCGCTGCCTGTCGATGCAGCTATTACATCAGAAACAGTGGATGCAACTAAGTCACCGAGCACCAAAATCCGCCGTCTGGACCATTCTCGGCTAAAGCCTAATAGGCAAGCAGTGAGCTACTTCAGCTACAACGACATCGGCTTCAATGGTGTATCGACTAATGCGAAACAATTCGAATTGTTTGTTCAACCGTCCAATCTCTGCACTTTCCCTATCACTGAGTCATTGTAACTCCTAGGGAAAGCTCTATCCGTAGACTGTTGCTTAGGTAAATAATCACACATCCGATATGCCAATGTCCGACTGCGCATTGACTACAAACAGATTGTCCCTGCTGACGAAAACGAATCTTCTCGCAGAATCTTCGAAGTCAATCGGCAATTTTTGTGTTCGAACCTTCAGCTACTTACGACGATTAGCTTCAGCAATACATCAGTGACAACCTACTAGAATGTCGAAAGCCACGACACTAAATACTGTTAATTACAGGACTATGTGCGCACAAACATTTGTAATAAAGCATTATCTTCGGGTACACATTCTATCTTCATTTTCTCATTTACCCCTGTGATGCCACAAGCGTCAATCGCTACCGCCATCAACGATCTCAGCTATAACCCATTTTTCCGATGACATCTCTATCACTACATATACAAATTCTTTTGCCCAACTGGTCAGCACCGCCGTCACTGATGAATGCCACTGATGCAAATGTCCTTCAACACAACTGTATTTTTATGACTACGCAAAAAACCGGACAGCGACTAAGTGACATTGGCCACAATTCCAACGACGTCAGTCGCCTGACAGCTTGACGTCGCGGCTTTCTTCAAAGGTATTTTGTTCTGTCCGTGTGCGGCTCCACGTTAAAATGGGTAGGCGAGAAGTAAAATCCCGTTATACTGTCACACGTTCACGCGCACAAGAGTCGCGCGTGGCAATCGCATCATAAGAAATTACCGCAGCAACGCACAGAAGCGGGGGAAAATCAAAGATGGACACAAAATGTAAACGCGTTCCCATTCAGATAGAAGAGTTAGAGCTAGACGTGCAGATACCGTTTGAGCATCTGCTATGACTATTACTTCTACCTGTACAGCTGCGTGTCAGCTACGCCATTATCCGGCTTCACGGCTTTGTAACTGTGTTTAATAATTAGCGACTACTGGCCGTACCCCATACTCAGTTACCGATCGGCGGCAATACTTCCAGTCACAACGATACTGGTACGTTCCATTGAAAAGCAGCGGGAAAGACTTGTGGCATCAGGCAGGCAGGCAGGCCGGCCGGCCGGTCGGTCGGCAGGTTTAGTAGGGCAGTTGCACTCGAAATAGAGCTATGCCTTAAACTACTACCACCTACCTGGACGCTAGGACAAGTGGGAGTCCCGTGGAAAGTGCGTACCCCATACGTTTACTGATGCACTAGTATCTAATCTCTGTTATTAAGCAGAACGATTTGCTTGCTTTCTACTTCAACAGATTTATTATATGAACAAGAAGTTTCGAATTGCATACACCAGCGACTGTCTTCAGAATTCCGTCATTGTGGTTAAATCTAATTTACTAAACAATCAATTCCTATGGATTAGTCCTATACCGTGTGGTTAATCATCGCTGCTATAGCTTTCGAATCACGGTAGGAGGACGGATCAAGCATAGTTGCCACTTCATCGAACGTACAATTTCAACTTCGACTACACTGAACTAGAGAAAAACAGTGCACAAAAAAAACGTGAACGTATAGCCTTTTGACACAAAAATATCTCGACTTTTTTCCAAACAAACAACAAATCCATTCTCTCCATAACGG